CTGACCAAGCAGCTAAATTCTAAAGGGGTAGTTTCCATTGCATCCTAGGCATGCCTATAATAGTAATAATAGAAACATAGTAGCTATTATCAGAAGAATTTAATAAGAATAATGGGTTATGGTTTATGAAGCTACACACTTTATCTTCTTTGACTGCTTCTTGAAGATAGGGCTTCACATAATAGAAAACTAAGATGCATAGATAGTAGGTCACTTCAAGTCACATACAAAAGGGATCTAGGATGAGAAACTCGTAATACAGATTTATCATCCTGTGTCCACCTCTCTGTACCAATCAGGGTTTTCAAAATCAAGAATGATTCAATGTAGAGTTTATATTTTGATACTATCTACATAATCTATGTATAAATGAAAGCTCAGAAGCAAAAATTCTGTTGCATTAGAATCTTAGTTGTTCAGCTTAATTTATCTGAGAATTCTGTTATAAAGTTGGCAAATAAATTGAAGTAAAAGGGAAACTTTCACTTTATTTGTATTTGTTATTCTCTCAGTGATAAAATTTCCATCAGAAAAAGTAGTCTATTTGGTTTCTTAATATAAAGATAAGTACAATTTATATTATTTAGTTTAAAAATTTCCGAGCACCTGGGGGTCTCAGTCGGTTGAGCATTCATCATTTGGTTTTGGCTCAGGTCATGATCTCCTAGTTCTTAGAGTTCGAGCCCCGCATCAGGCTCTGCACTGGCAGTGTGGAGCCTGCATGGGATTCTTTCTCTCTCCCTCTCGCTCCACCCTTCCCCATATTGCACTGTCTCTCAAAAACATAAGTAACATTTATGTTATTTTAAAGCCCTTCTATAGCGAAGATTTATGTTAATTCAAAGTTTTAAAAGAGGTCATTAATTTCTTAATGAAGAAATTGGGCCCAGGTGCCCAACACACTCACTAGAGTAACTCCTAAATGAATGTTGGCAGAATGAATGGGCAAATGAACTTTCTGAATCAAGTGACTGCAACCCCATTACCTTAATTGAATTGATCTATATTCATAAATTTTCAATAGCTTAGAATAAGTTCCAAATATTCAAAATGCTATTGAATCTGTGAGATTTATTCAAAGTCAGTAAGTAACTGATATTAAAATGTAAGCTAAAACTGTGTACAAGAGTTTCTATAAACTACTCAACTTTCACTAGGAATTAATCTATCTTACCAAAGGAATGTGCTTAGAAATGCTGTAGCTGACAATGTCCAGAAATTTGGAGACCGAACTGATTCTGGAAAGAATAAGTCCCACTGTCCTTTGTTGAAGCTCACACAACCATTTTCTCTTTTCCCTTTAAGAATTCTCTGAGAGAACCAGGTAAAATACTTTAGCTTTCAATAATAATTTCTTTCAAAATTTTACAAATACCTGTATACTTGTCCTTGAAAAGTAAGATAGGTAAGGCCACATTTTATCCCTAGAAAATGATGAGCTAAGAGACTTTAACAAGACAACCTAACCAATGGAAATAGAATTAATGTCTCCAAGTTCTGGCTTGACTCTCTAACTAGACCATGTCAGCCATTGTTTAAAAAAACACTGTTGTGCTTTACAAAAGGAAACACTAACAATAATATTTGATTTATCTCTTTGAATCTTAGTATATTATAATCATAAAAGATTATTAACAATGCTATTCACTCTCATTGGGAGTTGTGAATTTGTCAGTTTCTGAACTGTATTATACATTTGAAGCCACCACTTGTATCATTATACAAGCATCATATTGAGCCTAGATACCTTTATTCAAAATATGAATGAACACTGGTGACATCTCCCAAGTTTTTGTTCCTCAGTGCAGCCAAAATAGTAGTAGTCTGATGCTGTGTTAATAAGAAAGCCTGATGTAGTTGAAAGAGGAAAGACATTGGAGGCAACTAGATATGAATCTCTGTACCAGATCTGCCACTACCAGTGTGGTCATAGGCTTGTTACCATCTCTGTAACTGCCTATGGTTGTGTGTAGAGGGCCTGAATCATAAGTTGTGAGCATTGACTGAACTCATAGATACGGAATGCTTAGCGTTACACATGGCCTACAGTAAGTCCTCATTAAATGCACACCAGAATCATTATTATTTACTTCAAGAAGTATTTGTTGAACAAGACCTTTTAATTTATTTATAAGATCCTTTATTCACTGTGGTGCTGGTGTCTTTTCATGACCTACTAATTATTATGTATAAGAAGAAATGATATAGCATGATTTCTTAGTTCAGCATTTCTCAATCTCCAGACTTTTGGCTTGTTGGCATAGTTCTTTGTTACGGGGGGCTCCCCTGAGCATTATAGGATATTTAGCAGCATCTTGGTCTTCTTGTACTAGGTACGAATATACTCTTCCTCCTCCTCCTCCCTACTTGTGACCACCCACAAACGTTTCCAAACAGTGCCAAATAAACATCTCCTAGGGTGCAAAAATGCCCCCAGGCAAAAACTACAGTCTTCTATCAGTTCTCTCTAAAATGCGTTCCTGGACTGCTAGTCCTGGGAGATTCTTCCTCAAAGATCCCAGTGTCAAGTAAGTTAGGAAACACTGAATAATAATAATAATAATAATAATAGCTCATTTTTATAAGCTTACTATATGGTGCAAACTGTTCTAATTTTATTTAATCCTCCTAACAGACCTAGAAGTTAGTTACAACTCGAAGGCATATTTTTCAAACTAGAAAATTGAACTTGGTCAAGTAACTGACCAAGATCATAATCAAAATGACCCTAAACAAATTCAAATGGTTCAAAAACAAGCAGGGAGGAATTTCTCTGCTTGGAGGAGGCAGGGAACAATGAACAGAGAAAATTAAATTTGAATTGGGTCTTTTATCATCTTGTTAAGCTCGGCTAAATAAGAATCTGCCAGGTGAAACATCGCATTCCAAACAGAGCAAACAACATATCCACAGGCCTTGGCAACTGGGAAGGCTTAATATGTTCGGGGAATAGTGAGGATAGAGGAAAGGAAGTCAAGGAATAAAATTAGAGAAAAGGCTGCATTCTTCATTACTATTGCTGGTTTGACTCCTGTAGGCATTGGACTTTGCAACCTTTACTCTAAGAGCAGTAGACAGCCAAAAGCACAGTAGTGACATGATCATGTAGGTACTTGACAATGATAGCTAAAGGCAATAGTATTTGGTGGTGGGGGACCCAAATTAAGACACTATACGAAGATTTGAGCAAGAGATATTGAGTTAAGACAGAATGAAGGGGCCAGATTTGAGAGAGTTTATTGACAAAAGCAGAGTAAGGAAAAATCTTCCTCCCAAATGGGCTGTAAGATCAAGTAGAATTTATTTGTAGAAGGGATATTTCTGCAAAACAAAGTGATGTACTTTCAAGGAAATAACATGGAAACGTGTTAAGCAGCTATTCTGGTAACCTAAAGAATTTGCATTAACAAGTCTCAGGCTCCACAAATGCTTTCCTGGAAAACTTCTCCTTTCCCATTACAATTTCTCAATAAAATTGTATACTCCAGTTATTTAGTGAAGGATCAGGCTAACTGGTAGATTCTAAATAGTGCCCCTATGTTTCTGGTCTAGGCCACTTTGTTTTGTTGCTTCTAAACACACTACGTGGGAAAGATGAGTCAGCATTGGTGGAGATTCGCCCTAATGTATTTGAGAAATGATGAGCCAGCCAAGAAATGTTCGAAAGAGATTGGTCTGAGATACTCAAAGAACAGTTGTTGAATGGATGCATTAATCACATTCTGAATTCACTTTAATAACTTCTGACTTAAGTGTGGAAAATATGATTAATAGAAAGGAAAAAAAATCTTTGACTGCAACTTCATATTTCATCGTTTACTGACATAGTAATGGGCCAATCTGAAAAAAATATCCCAGTGAGGTTCCACTTGATCTTAGCCAAAAGGCCGAGAAGTGATTCCAGTGAAGTTCCAAATGGACTTTTACCTCTGCACATTATGCAGTTGATTTTTATGACTATTATTTAAATCTTTAAAATGAGCATATAGTCTAACATACTTAACCTTGTTATTTTTTTCTAAGTATCTTCTCAAACTATCCTTTAAGAGTCATTCTGTATGCATAAGTTTCTTTATAATGAAGCAATAATTGTGCCACTAATATACAGATTTTATAATCCCATTCATGACAATTTAGAAGGAAAACATTTTTTTCTACGATGTTCCAACAATTTTGTAGTTGTGCTTAAAATCATAATTCATAACAATCCCTGCTGTTTAAGGTGTACTTATTAGGTGTCAGGTGCCATGAAAGTATTATTTCAAGTAAAAATCATACTAAATAAATAGTCTTTACCCATTTTTCAGATGGGCAAAAAGAGAGTCAACATGGTGAGGTGGTTCAACCAGCACCTCAATTATACTGTAAGGCTCAAACCTGGGTCCTTGAGTCAGCAAAACCTATGTGCTGTCTACAATATCATTGTGGGTCCAGATTTTACCTGTATTCTTTTTATTTCATTTAAACTTTAACATGAGCCAGAGCTAATATATGTCACAAATGGTAACATACATTTCAACAGGCACGGAAAAAGATATTGTTACCCAGCTTTATATATATATTATATATATAATATATATTATATAAATTATATTATATATTATATAAATTATATTATATATATTATATATTATATAAATTATATTATATATAGTATATATATAATTTTTATCAGATATTTGAGAAGAAGGTGCTCTATATAAGGGTAAAAATTTTTACTGACAAAGTAGTTTTTATAAAATCGAGTATCAGAGTTTTTATATTTGAAGAACACGGATAGCTGACTAAAAAGGGCTTGCCTTCTTTGCCGCAGCCCTCGCCCACCAAAAAAATAGGAGGGATTTTTTTTGGGTCCAAATCATCACAATAAACGATTCAGACCTCTTTCACTTTGTAACAGAGAACTTCTGTTTTACAATGAAGCTTTGTCATCCTATCTGCAGTGAAAGAATTGATATTCTTAATGGTCTGATACATTTTTCTTTATGTGAACATTTTAGGTGTATCAATATATGCACGAAACGATAACTGTTAATGGCTGTCCTGAATTCCGTGCCAGGGCCACAGCAAAGGTAAGACTTGAGTAACTTTAAAAGTACATTTGACCCCAGTGATCTAGTAATTGATTGTGCGCGTGTGTGTTTCAGGTATTCTCGTGTGTACACTGTAAGAGAATTTAGACATCAGTGGCAGCCCAGAGTCTAGAACCAGTACTACTTCCCAGGTAAAAATCCTAATGGAAAACTGAACGTTTCTGCTGCTTCTGTAGCTTAAGAAAGGAGAATGATTTCATTAAACGCAGTAACTGTCCATTTGGCACAAGCAAATCTACTGCTTCATTGTATGAAATAATACATGGTTTTCTGACACAGTCCTTTGATCCAAAAGAACCTGTTCCCCATTCAGTGCATGAAGATTTCCTTCAGAAGCTTTGACTTAAGTTAGACATGAAGAGAACTCACCCGAGGCCCACTGACATAGGATTCTTCTGTGTATCCAGCTGAGCAATGGGTAGCTCGCTGAAAGAATGTGACATTGCCCTAAAGGGAAAGCCTGTCACCTTTTGTGAGAGTGACCACATTTGCTCTTTAAAAACTCAAATTCAGAGATTGTAGAGAAATCTAATGGAAATCTTACACTAATGGTAAGCTTATAGCAATAGGATGGTGAAATTATCTGGAAAATAGACCATTAGGAAACAATAGTTTTAAACTAAAATTATTGATGTAGTTCTTATTTTACAAACAGAAGTGCTGTAATTGATGCACTACAGCTTGCTTTTTAAAAGCTCTTATCCTTCTAATAATGTGTAAGAAACAAGAACTGGTGAAAATAATCAGAATTTTCCATTCAATTCTTTTGTGTTATATCACCTCTTGTTTGGTTTCTCTTCTGATTTCTTAGTTTTCATTCTGTAACTGAACACTGTAGATTTGTAAGTTTTTTTTTAACCCAGGCAAAGGGAGGGTATTATTATCATTACATCATGCTTTGCTTGTACTGAAGTGGGACACACACAGAAAAATGATCCCTACATGGTTTAATTAAGGGGAAAGTGAATTATGTAGTGTTTTACCATTCTCATTTCTTATTCATGTAGAACAGCAGGATAGCAGCATAATGTTGCAATAGCACAATATTTTCTGGTTGTTTCTGGGCTGTCTGCATTGCATCCATGTCAGCCATTAAAATCTATGCATGACGACAAGGTTTGCATGAGCAAATGCATGTAGCTAAAAAAAAAAGCCATTATTTCCATATCATTCACTAAACTTCACTAAATGCAGACAGTAGCATAATGCTAAATTGATGTGATAATGCTGTGTGTGGAAAAGAATGTACAGTCGTTGGCAATCAATATTTTCACAGTGTTGAGTAAATCACTTTATAGTAGGCATCTAATCAACTGTGGTTAAGTCAGGTTAATGGAAGTGGAAAATAAGAAGCAGGCAGATCTTTTCTTGACAGAAACTACTTAAATGCTATTATTTTATTTCCATGAGGGGTGGGAACTACTGGTAAGTTGTGTTTCCAGCTTATTTTCAAAAATTTATATATAAATTTTAAAATAAAACAATGTCCATATTAAATGATATTTTGTACATCTAGGTATAGAACCATGGGCTGCTCATTTTGCCCACATTGCTGTAGGAATTGAAGTATTAATGTAAAATGTAGGGGGAAACATCTGTACCAGATAAGAAGACATCTCATAATAATGCAGAATATTGATGTGAAATAATAATAATCTGTTTGATTCTATTTTCTGTTTTAGCTTTTATTTTCTTTTAGGTAACCTCAATCAAAAAACAAAAACAAAATGTGTTAAGCCAGTGTTTTGGCGATAGCAAGATTATATATGTATTCCCCAGAATATACACATATAAGTGCTTCTAAGCACATTGAATAAAGATTTATGTACATGCACCGGGGTAGACTGTGTGTCATACAAAGAAGTGGATTATGTCACCTCTGCCCTTCGGGTGCTCATAGTCAACACATATACATAATAATTATGGCATATGTACCGTATAAAGGTAATGTAAGGACCAAACCTATTTTGGAGTCCAAGAAAAGAAGGAATTGCATCTAACTAAGGTAACTGGGAAAGATTTTTATGAAGAAGGGAAATTTGTAGCCTAACGGGTAAGCTCTAGAAAACCGGGAATAGCTAGGCAGGGCTCTCCCAAACAAAGGAGTCATAGATGACGTTTAAACGAAGCAGGTCTTCCCACCACCCCGCCCCCACTGCCCCATCTTGATCTTTCTTTCACAGGAGAATGCTATAAAACTAAGAGGAGTTGCCTGATCCTACGCACTGCAAAGCATACGATTGGCCTTATTTCCCTCGTTTTATTACCAAATGACCATCTTTTCTTTCAGGCAACAGTTGCAGCTTTTGCAGCTAGTGAAGGCCACTCCCACCCTCGGGTAGTCGAACTGCCAAAGACTGATGAAGGCCTTGGTTTTAACGTGATGGGAGGAAAGGAGCAAAATTCCCCCATTTATATCTCCCGCATCATTCCTGGAGGGGTGGCCGAGAGACACGGAGGCCTCAAAAGGGGAGACCAGCTGCTATCAGTGAACGGAGTGGTATGTTCATAAAATAACCGGAGGTTTTCTCCCCTAAGCACATTTTTTGCCCCCTGCTGTTACTACAGTCAATGTTGAAATCCTCGAACAAATCACAATTTTGTGTCCAAATCGCTTCCTCAGCATTGATGGACATTAAGCCTACAAGAGCAATAATTTTATAGTTTTTATGTCTCATTTCATCATTCTCATCTTAGTATGATAAGTATGAACTAGTTGGAAAACTATCCCAAGGAATTATCCCAACTAGTAGAATTTTCCCCCATATGATACTCAAATTGAATTAATGTTTAGAAGAACAAAATAACTCCAACATTCTTTTTATTCAAATTACTATAAACAGTTACAAGCATTTTAAAAATAAAGATAAAACCCCTTATCTGTATTTTTTATTTAAGTAGGAAGGATATTTTTAGTATACATAATAATAAGGCACATGGAAACAAGAATGCACAGATAATTCATTAATGTACAGCTATAGTAAGATAAAAATATAACAGCCTCTTCCCCAAAAATGTTTGATTATATTATCTATTCATCATATATATTTTGATTCTCACATACATGGAAAAAGAAGGCACAGATAATTCATTAATGTACAGCTATAGTAAGATAAAAATATAACAGCCTCTTCCCCAAAAATGTTTGATTATATTATCTATTCATCATATATATTTTGATTCTCACATGAAGTTAGGGTAGATTAAATATGTAACATTAAAATTTTTTATTGTTTATTTATTTTTGAGACAGAGAGAGACAGAGTACGAGCTGGGGAAGGGCAGAGAGAAAGGGAGACACAGAATCTGAAACAGGCTGCAGGCTCTGAGCTGCCAGCACAGAGCCCGATGCGGGGCTTGAACCCACGGACCACGAGATCATGACATGAGCCGAAGTCGGATGCTTAACCGACTGAGCCACCTAGGGGCCCCAATATGTATGTAACATTTTAAAATAGAAGTAGGAACATACTTTTTTTTTTTCATAACCTCATCTTCTTTGGATGCCATTACCTCCACATGTAATAAAGACTTTCTAAAGAAATAACTGTATCTGAAAAGAATCATTTTCTCCCCATAACTTCTACATATACTAAAAATAATCTAAAAGCATAAATTTCAGAAGTTTAAATAACACATCAGTGTTTATCTTTGTATTAACCCAAGATCTTTTCCCTAAGGACCTAAGGTTTTAATGAATAAACTAGATCTGGGTTATTTGTGACCTTGTTGATTTCTGTTTAGAACACAATACCCAACATAAAAAACTTATAGAATGTGATATTAGTAACACACTGGATATGGGGTAAATTCTTGTGTATTTCTATCTTGTATTTTATTTCTATTTTTTTAATTTTTAGCTTCACTAGTAGTTTTGTAGAACCCAAAACTACTCATTTAACTCTGCTAATCTCTGATATACATCAAAATCATTAATCCATGAATATTCTATATCACTTCAGCATTCCAATTCTAAAACTACCATTTCATTTACGTTTTTGTATGTAACAATGTTTTGAGATAGCTTTTCTAGTGACAATTAGCTAACTATGACTCTTAAAAGCATGTTTCAGCTGATAATTTCAGAGTCCAACTTTCCAGCAGGTGGTTCTGGAGCTAGGTCATGCAATTATGTTACACAGTAATCAGTGCCTCAGTGTATGAATTTATTACAATTTATCTAAATATATTGTGTAGATCATATAAAAGTATAGATTTTTTTAAAAATTAAAGGTACAAAAAGAACCAAAAACACATTAAGAGAAACTGTGATTATATAAAGCAACAATAAATATAGTGAATTCAATTTAATAGGTGGTTGACTTTTAACTATCTGTCAGAGGAGCTAAAGAGCCTATGTTTAACCCATGTATTCACAAGGAGCACAACTACAGCCATTTCATAATCTCTCGTCCATTACTTGCAATGAACATGTGGCTTTATCTGCAGGGGGTATTGGAGAATGGAATCAGACTCATCAGTCTTTATCACTCAGTGTTCATGTGATTATAAATTAATATCCCTTATACTTGAATTTCCTAGTCTGAATAAGGGGAGTAATGAAAGGCTCTGATGAAGATTAAAATGAGGCAGGATGTCTTTTAAGAAGAGTACTGTGGTAATTTGGTCCCAAACACTTTTTTTTGTTTGTTTTTAAGAGAAAGTGAGAGAGAAAGAGAGAGAGAGCGAGTGTGAGCCAGGGAGGGACAGAGGAAGAGGTGGGGTTTGGGGGGAGAGAGAGAATGAGACAGAGAGAGAGAGAGAATCTTTTTTTAATTTTTTTTAATGTTTATCTTTGAAAGAAAGACAGAGCGCGAGGCGGAGAGGGGCAGAGAGAGAGGGAGACACAGAAACTGAAGCAGGCTCCAGGCTCTGAGCCATCAGCACACAGCCCGAAGCAGGGCTCGAACCCACAAACTGCGAGATCATGACCTGAGCCGAAGTTTTCGGAAGCTTAACCGACTGAGCCACCCAGGCACCGAGAAAGAGAGAGAGAGAGAGAGAGAGAGAGACAGAGAGATCTTAAGCAGCCTCCATGCCTAGCATGGAGCCCGAATAGGGGCTTGATCTCACAGCTGCGAGATCATGATCTGAGATGAAATCAAAAGTTGGATGCTTAACCAAATGAGCCACTCAGGCACTCCAGGCACACACACCTTTGATAAGTAAGTGTGGTTACTGAAGAAGGTTGAAGAGGGTTAGCAATAGCCCTATGATATTGTTAATGTTAGTCTTGTTGTTAAAAGAAAATCTTAAGGCAAAGTCTGCTACACGTGTAGACATATGACATATTAGCAAAAAGGCATTCATGCAACCTCTTTCATAAGCTGATGAAATTCTAGTTCTCAGTCCATTCAGATGTTACAGTCATTACCTTGGAAAAAAGGTTCACTTGGATAAAACAACATTCCAGGGACAGGATTTTATTACCCTTTTTTCAGCCTTTGACAACCAGAAATCCTATTAAAAACTGGTTGGAAATAGGAGGGTTTAGTGACCAAACTTAGGCCACTAATCCTATGGTATGGGCTATGAACCTTCTTAAGATTTTTGCATTCTGTTCCTACAAAGGTGGGCAACATCTCCAAAAGTCTTAAATGTTCCGCATATATTATAAAACATTTAATTTTACCATTTACATTCCATTTATCATGCTAGTTAATGAGTCACTGATTTCGCCAATGAGAATCCATTTCTGACCTATTTTTGCTTATAAGCAAAGCTTCATTTGTTTCATTGAAATAGGTGTAACAAATGCTTTTCTGGTGGCCAAGCTCTGAGGTATTGCTTCTCTGATTTAGTGCTTGCGGATGACCCTGGACTGGTTTATGCTTCTGAAGTTGGGGTTTAAAATATTGCACATCCATATAATCAAACTGTATAGTATAAACTGTCTATGTTAGTCTTTAAAAGTAAGTTATATACATTTTAACAGTACCTAGTATCAATCAGACGTTCACTAAGAGGCAGTTTTCATTCTGTAAATGAGAAATTTTGTGTGTTTCTCGTTGTTAGGCAAAGAGTAGTTAATCCCAGACGAGAACCCAGCCTTGCTTCTTAAACCCAATCCAGAAGTGTTTTCGGTGTAAATTTCAGTCAGATAGAAATACTTAATTTAAAATAAAAAAGTAATGACTCTGTAATGGAAGAGTTAAAAAAGAGAAAAGATTAACAAATGATCAAACTAGTTCTCCTTACACTTTTTTTACTGTTTTTTTTTTTTTTAATTTATTTCTAGGAGAGAGAGAGCGTGAGCAGGGGAGGGTCAGAGAGAGAGGGAGTCACAGACTGAAACAGGCTCCAGGCTCTGAGCTGGCAGTCAGCACAGAGCCCGACGTGGGGCTCGAACCCACGAACCGCGAGATCATGACCTAAGTGAAAGTCGGACGCTTAACCGACTAAGCCACCCAGGCGCCTCTAGTTCTCCTTACACTTAAAGTACCACTTGGGGAAATCAGTATGGAAGATTTTCAGAACATATCATTATAAAGTGAGAACAAATTTTAGAGAAAGTGATCTGAAGGGCTGAAGCAAACCTGAACTACTTCAGTACATGACCTCTGGGAAAAGTTTCCTAAGTCCCACTTAAAACATGAAGAAATTATTCCATGGATTTTATCTGAAAAGACATTTGAAAGGATGTCTTGATTATGTATGTTTGTTTTTCTTCCCTGCCTCCTTTTAGAAAGGAGATGGCACAATATTTGGTAAAAAATAAAATATGTGCATACAGAACTGTTAACATGACATGTTAGGTAATAAAGTGGAATGATGGAAAGAGGGAAAAATCAATAAGTAGAAATAAGAAGAGATACAGCAATTGAGCAAGTGTTTTTCAGTTTCTCTATTAGTGTCTTAGAAGTCAAAACAGAAAGAACTTAATACAAGCTCAGCTATCATTGGGAGGAAAGTTTTTTGGGTTTTGTTTTTTTTGTATTCCTGAGCTCCAGAGAAATTTCCCATGGGAGTATTACAAATGAGACATTGAATGGCCTAATGCAATTTTATAGAAAATACAGAGGCCTTTCTATGGGGCTACTACTTATGTCAACCCTCAGTAAAAACAGCAGAATGCTCAATTAAAATTTAACGTTAACAGAAGGTCAAAATGTTACAGTTTGTATTTATAGCTTTCTAATGATCTTCCTTTCACCCTTTTATGCCCAAGTATTTCATAAGCAATTTTGAGAAGGACTAAAGGACCATTTATAAAAGTTGCAGCCAATGTGGAGCCAGCAGAGACAGTACATAAATTTAGTCATAGTACCTAGATATTTAAAAAAATCACAATAGAACAGTAGAATAGGCCGAATTTAACGAGAATCTACATTAAATCCTGCTCCTGCATCAGAAAACTGGCTACATGTGTGCAAAACCAGGGGAGAAGGGCTAAGTATCAAAACCTGAAAAAACAAACAAACGAAAAAAGCCTGGGGATTTCAGTTTATTTCAAGAGGAATATGAGGAAAGTTGGGGGGAGGGGACTCACAAAAACATATG